GCCCTTCTGAAATTTTTCTTATCCTATGCAGCAACCTGGTAAGATTCAGGCATGTGTTTCCTTAAATTGTCAAAAAGGAGCAAAATGCAAACTTTCCTTCACTTGTTTTTTCCTACCACAGTCTATCTGACGAGTCGGGCAGACTGGTTCTGAAAAAGGTTTACGATGGCAAGATCTATCGTGACGGTATCAACCAAAATGACGTCACCTTCGTGGACACTTTCAACATTCTCTATGTATACATCGGTCCAGGTGCCTCAGCAAATGAAGCTCTAAGTTCGTGGACTGAAGCAGAGGTAAGATTTAAAAATATTTTAGCCTTTTGTCGTTGCCTGCACGAGTTTGTTGTCCAGTGTTTCAATCTGCACGTATGCCTATTTAAATCCGTATTAACAAAGCCGTATCAAGCAAAACCATGCATACTGGGGTGACCGATCGAAACTCAGTTGTTAGCCAATCGACAGTTTGAACGTCAATTTTGACGATGTCCAAAGTGAGTTACACAACTCGGTGCTACAGGGACTTCGACTTACCTGTAGTAAACATGCGTTGCATTTATCGTACTCTGTCTTTGCTTCACTCGCTTGTGTCCAGTCCAAGAGCGGATGCGAAATCGGGAGCAAAGGACCGAGACCATCTGGCCAGTCTCAGACCTCGCAAAGTAGGAGTGTCATAAAGGCCACGGGTGGATGGTGCCTGAGCCAGCACCTATGCGTACCACCAACGCCCAGCGATAGTGGTGGCATAGATGCCAGCTCACACGACCTGGGTCTTTGTATCATACGCTCCGCCAAAGATAACCAGCTCTCGACCCACTCTTGACCAGGATTTTATTATAGCTGGAGGATACGGGAAGCAGCTCCAATCCCAGCCACATCCTAAGCCTCCTAAGCAATGCCACTTGATGCTGATAAGTTTCAGGCGCTTTTATATGTGTATGTTCAGGCCGACTTATTAGAAATCAGACTATCTAAGTTTGAATAAATTAACCTTAAATGCTACCTGCAACGGTGCTAATTTCTGAAATTGTTTAATTTTTGTAGAAATATCTGCGGTCGGCGGGAAGACCAGAAAAGGCGATTGCAGTCTTCAGCGCCGGATCGTATCTACCAGCATTCAATGAAATCTGGAATGATCACGGAGTCCAGTATAGTCAACAGTTGGTTAGCAAATAAAATGCCCACTGAGCCACCTTGTTGTCATAAACCTTAGTCATGATTATTAAACCTAATGACGGATATCTCTCGTGTCTGTTCACTCCCAAGATCCGATGTTTACGCGCGAACTCGGAGTTGCAGATACTGGGAATTGTCCTTTCAGTATACCTCTTACGAAGAGGTCGTAGTCGTTTAGTTGAACTTACCTTTCTCGTGTCAAAACATGGGCCGATCATGTAAGCCAAGTATTAGTTAAGAGACCACCGACTTCAATATAGGCGATAATTGAGTAATCTCTGGTCTTCCCAGCAGTTATTCAAGGGACTCAGGCCCCTTGATATTCTCTGTGTGCGTGAAGCACCCAAGTAAAATTGTCAGCGTAAATATTTATATAATTCTATCTTCTGACTGGAACTGTGCGCGCTTTAGGGCTCGGCTTATCGCTTAAAAGGTTAACTGCTTAGAAGGAGAAGAGGGTGCGATCAATGGATAAATAATTTTATTTTACTGACGTTTCGAAATTTGTTGAGAATCCTTAATCTTAATTAACCGTAAAATGGCATGAAACATGCACAGGCTGCGTGGTATTTTAAGTTCGTAACGACCATCCATATGCGTACTATAATCATCAACTCTGTAACCATCGCTTTGGGTCTTAAATGGTGCAGTAACGGCTTGATAATTCGCTTTCGAGTCAATAGTTGCCGCAATTTCCTTGTCCGTTTCGGATGTGGACTTGATAATGGCATTGGTGTTGGACCCGGATCTGACGACTGCAAACATAATTGTCGCGCAATTATCAAGCCCAAATCCGACATGGAGGAGGAAATCGCGGCAATTAACGACTCCAAAACAAAGCGTCAAGTCATCGCCGCACCAATTAAGACCCCAAGCGGTGGTTAAAGGAGTGGATAATTATAGTACGCATGTGGATGGCCGTTACGAACTATAAATACCACGCAACCTGTGCACGTTTTACGCCATTTTTCAGCTACCTATGATAAAGAAATCTAGACAGAATCCGAAACGTCTGTACAGTACAGTAAAATGCTCGTTCCAGTGGTCCTCTCTTCTTCTTCTGGGCTGAGTCCTGGTACTCTCATATTCGCTTCTATCGGTTAACTGCTTCCTGGTGCAATACAACTGGTGACACTTCTGTCCCTCCGATCTCCGACAGATGAAAATTCCGAAAGAATTAACGGTTCAGGTTGTTGTAACGATGACTTCTGTGTGGTATCACCGTCGAATTACGCCCTTTGGAGGCCTTTTTGCGCGATGTGAGTGTCTGACTTAAGGTCATCGCTGGGCACAGCCTAGCGAAGGCATATGACCTTGAAGGTAGCTCGCATTGACAAAGGAATTATTGTGGCAGTTGGTGGCAGGCACGACTCCTCAGGATAGCCTGCAAGGTTGCTGGCATTTGGTCAGACTAGACTCCAAACAGGCCATACGAAAAAGAACGCCCACAAAGCCGGTGTCATTGCGCCAAATTCCGGGGAAGATAGGGTAAGCTTTATGGGTAGGCATAAGGGTCAGTATATGGAAATCCTTATCCCTCCAGAAGAAGAAGGATGGCGTAGGGTCAGTATATGGAAATCCTTATCCCTCCAGAAGAAGAAGGATGGCGTGGCAAAACTAGAAGCTATCGTAGCAGATCGTAAAAAGTTATCAAAATCCGAGAAGGACAAAGGCCGAACAGAGACCGTTGAGGGTCAGTTGAAGACATTTTTCAAAGACCTCCTATTTTGCCTGTCAAGTAGCTTGAAGGACTGAGACTGTAGGCGCATTCATACCCAGAATATACGGCCTCTTGAAAATTCAGAAACAAGAACCACTTCTAGGCTCAATATTGGATATGCAAAACTCTCCCTATCAGACCACTATCAAACGACTGGTAAAATCTTTATCCGCTTTAAAATTAACCTATACTCTCAACATTTTAAAGAAACCTTTAAGTTTATTGACGCAATAAATAATCTGAAAGTTGGTTGAAATAAGATGCTTTCGTTGAATTTGTCATCAATGGTATCCAGTTAACCAGTCAAGGAAACTATGAACTGCCTCTGCGACGCCATTCGGGAGAAAAACGTAAAAATTACTACTTTCGAGGTGCACACAGAATGTAAAATATCTCTGCAATGACCATGCTTACAAGCAGAGAAACGGTGTGGCGATGGGTTCATCGCTTGGATCGCTTTTCGCAAACGCTTTTCTGGGCAAAATCAAAAAAAATAGTCAAAGGGACATCATGAATGACCTCGAGTTTTAGGGTCAATAAGTGGATCACATCTTCTGTTTAACAGGCTTTAACAATGACACCGACGCCCAGCTTTGGGAACGTCACAGTCCACATTCGTCGCTCAAGCTATCTGCAGAGTTTGAGGTGGCGAAGGAAATCGAATTCCTTGATGTCCTTCTGCGGAAACTACAGCGCAGAATATTCCTAAAGAAAACACTGATGGGACAATAAATCAACATTCATTCTGGCAAGACGTGGACCCGGTGGCTCCGTGGATAGGACGTTTGTCTCTAGCTCACTGGTCCCAGGCTCAAAACTTGAGTGTAGCGGCAGTTTCTGCGGCTATACTGGAGTCAGGTAACTGTGACCGACGACGGGTAATGACCCAGAAATACGCGTATCTCACCGTCCTAACGTTTGCCAGTAATACATTTGCTACATTCACGGTCTTGTTTCCCACAAATAACAAACAAAGCATAGTCCAGGGATTGGCAGTTAGAGGGCAACGTAGCTGCTCCCATGAAACTGTTGAAGCAAATCCCAGCCGCTGCAGAACACGCTTCTTGAAAACGGATAGCCAAAAATGTTCATCCACAGGAATCGCGGCCAACGCACCAAAAAGTCTGCTACCTTAACTGCAGAAAAGAAAGACTTGTTCGTAAAACTGCCTAACTTATGCGATGCAATAGACGAACTGCTCCGACGACACCTGAAAACAGCAATTTAAAGCACTTTCTCCGGGCAAGCCTACGCGTCTTCTTCACGACCTCTCCTCAGCTGCAGGGAGTTTTAATTATAAATCCTGTTCAACGTTCTTGTTTTCATTATCAAGACAGTTGTACGGCTTCTAAGACGAACTGCGGAAAACCTATGTTTGCCGAACTAAATTCCTGGAATTATGCACATTACTATCGTCATTGCTCTACCCTATCACCGACTACGGTGGTCGAACTCCCACACCCTATCTAGGGGGCCTACAAAAGTAATCCGCGCAAAGCTGAACTGCCCTGCTCTGTTTCCATAGTCGGCTGAAAACGTGGATATTTTGTAGATTATAAGGACAATCAGTAGTCATTTTTTATCTCAAGCTCCCGAAAGACTCTAAATATTTAGACTTGGCGTTTTCTGCAGAGTTATTTCTTGGTGACAAGAGCCAAATGACATATAATATAAAAATAAAAAAACTAGTATAACATTATAAAATTTCAATAAATTCTCATCAGGCCATTACATTTATATGGGAGGGGGGGTAA